CCCCTTCCTTCCAGCAATGAATACGTCGTACGTCCTAGCTGTAGCTGTAGCTCTCGTAACACTGGATGTACTTGGCAACGGGCCTAAGCAACATTGTAGGTCGGCGATAGCTCTCTGGTATTTTGCAGGGTGTCTCTGTTTTCTCGTCCGCTCTGGTTGTGGTACGGTCCATGGTCCATGAGCGACGAGCACGGGATGTAGAGTGGTAGGTAGTATTGGTGAGTGGTAGCTGATGACGGTCTCTACTCTTGTCTTCTTCTCTTCTTCTTTTCTTTTTGCCCTTTCTTTTTCTTCTTGACACTTGTCAAAGTGCTCTCTGTATGAGTTGGTGGTGGTGGCCGCCGCTCTTCCCCAGAGCAATGTCTCGAGATAAATCATGGTTGATGTATCCAAAAAAAAAAAAAAAAAAAAAAAAAAAAAGTTGTATCCAGAAGCAGCAAGAACCAACGGTTGACTCAACGGTCTCTGTTTCACATGGTCAAGTGATGTGAGTATGACAATAACCGGCCATTGGCAGACGGAGTACGAGCACAGGACATCGTAGGCAGCAGGCGGGCAGCAGACAGCTAAGAGCAGTACGGATAAAGCGAGTCATTTTGGGGGGGGGGGTAGGGCACCTGGCCGGCAATTGAGATGGTCCATACAGCCTCTACAGCCTCGGATGGTGGAGGTTTCAACGTCTGGGCAATGCATCATTGGGCGTGATGGGCCGCCCCCCTCATCATTTGCACGAGTAATAAAGCTTATCGCATCGTATCGTCTCTCTCTCTCTCTCTCTCTCTCTCTCTCTCTCTCTCTCCCTCCCTCCCTCCCTCTCCCCTTCAACTCCCACCGCTCGAGGATTCCAGGCAGACGGTTCCGCGGCGGATTCCGAACAGGACCAGCCAGAAATGGATCACGGCCAATGCTGCGCGTAGTACGTGGGCGTGCTATTGATGTGTGCTCGTTGGGTGTTTAACCAATCAGTACAGTAACGTGTGTGTGTGTGTGTGTGTGTGTGTGTGTGTCGATGCACGTGCGTCGTCCCCCGTTCTCCATGTCATGTCCCCCCTCTATACACAGCTTTGGTGGTCTGTGGTCTGTCCCGCCCTCTTCTTTCCGCCCAGCCGACACCGACACCGACACTGGTGGCTCGTACTCATACACAGCCAAGGCCGATGGAATTTTTTTTTTTATCTCTTCTTATTTTTCAGGTACGGGAGATGGGGACGCGGGCCAGTGGGTAGGTAGGTGGCATTGGCGCGGGTCCTCTTTCTCCCGCCCTCGCTCTCAGCTCCTGGGGCTCCGTAATAAAAAATGCGCAAGGTAATCATAATCTGCGGCCAAGTCAAGTTGCGGCCAGCCAAGATGGTGGAGAACGGGTGATGGGTCTCGTCAGTTCGGGACTGCATTAGCATTGATGGAGACTTGTGATCTCGTCACAAGGGGAAAAGAAAGAGTTTTTTAATAAAAAAAATGAAATGAGATGAAATGATGGATAGAGAATAGAATGATACCACGGATTACAAGTGTACGAGTATAAGCAGCAAGGATCCAGGCGGTTTTACCGGGTGGACCGCCTGAGAGTCTCGTCAGGTGACTGGAAACGGGGGGGGGGGGGGATCCTTTGCTCTTTCCTTGTCTCGTTTTTTTCCTCGTTGGTGAGGCCATGTTTTGATGCTATTACCGCTGCTAATCATTCTACTGTCAGTAATAATCTGTTTAGCTACTACAGTCTTACTGATAACCTATATCAACCTGAGAAGATATCACGCGTAGCAAATATATATATATATATATATATTTGAAAAGATGAAAAATCAAGATGAATAGTAAACCTACTTGTCACGGAGGATGCCACCATTCATCATCTCCTCTCTTCTTCTCCATCCTTCTTCACCATTCTCCTCCTCCTCCTCCTCCTCCTCCTCCTCCTCCTTCCTCTTTCCTCTCTCACAGACATGATGTAACGACTAGTGCAGTAGACTGCTACTAGTATTCGGAACGCCCCGTAGCTTCATACATGCATGTGGACTATGACCCAAGGCCGAGCAAATGTCGATGTAGCAGTGTGTGCCGAGTATGGTAGCAGCAGAGTTGACGGTAGCAAGTGACTCTGTATATCATCATCATGTACGAGTACCTCGCTCAGGACGCCTCGACTCTCCCCTTGAGCTAGAGTATTACTAGTAGCCACTCTGGCGGGGCTGGCGATCATGTCGCCCGGCTCTCCGCGCGCACGCACGCACGCACACACAAGCACAAGCAGCTTATTATCCTAGCTTCCCTTCTTCTTCTCTTCTTGTATTCTAACCTGACCTGGCCCAATAGGATGTACTCTCTTCTTCATCCCGAGTCAGCCCATGCCCCCCCCCCCACCCCTGGACTGGACTTGTTTCCCCTGGACCGGCTGAGGCTGCCTGCGCTTTTCGTGTGTGCTTGACGGCAAGGCTGTGCCGGCGGGATGGTACAAGCTTACCTACCGCAGCAGGAGTATCATCACTCCTTTCTGACAACCCCCTGCAGCAAGTGATGACAAGTCTTTGACAGGAAAAAAAAAAAGAAGAAAAAGGAAGCAGCAGCAGATGTGT